AATATTGATTCCACACATTCCACCATTGTCCCAATTCATCCTACGATCACCAGACTAAAATCTTGGTGTTTCCACCTAACCGACAATTCAATCTTCAACATATTGTTACCCGAGAGATTAAACCGCTATGCAAACTCACTTGAAACAGGCCATCGATTTTGAATTCAATGCTCTACAACATCAAAACACATTGATGCTTGTTCCACAACCTTCTAATGAGAAAATCATTGGATGTAAATGGACTTATCGAATCAAACAACATCCAGATGGCTCTAATGCTCGATACAAGGCTAGACTTATTGCTCAAGGTTTTCAGCATGAGCACGGTCTAAATTACAATGATTTTTAAGCCCTTTTGCTAAACTTCCTACTATTCGCATTTTCTTATTATTGCACTTCATCATAACTAGAAGATTCTTTAATTAGATGTTTCTAATGCATTCTTACACGGTACTCTTGATGAAGTTATTTATATGAAACAACCACCGGACTATGATGATCCCAAGCATCTGACTCATGTGTGTCTTCTAAAAAAAACACTCTATTTTACAAAACACTTAAACTGTCACCCAAAAAATGATTCAATACTTTCACAAAACACTTATTAAACTATGAATTTGCTCATAGTCAATCTGACCCCTCTCTGCTTATCTATCATAAGAATTCTATCTCTTTATTTATTATTGTATGTATAAGATATTTTGTTAACCACAAACAGTAGCACGTTTATTCAAGCTTTATTACAAAATCTTCCACTACCTTCTCTACGAAGAACCTTGGTCCTGTCTCTACCTTTTTGGGTATTCCTATTCATCATGCTAAACAAGGCTTATTTCTTTCACAAAAATATTATGCTAATAACATTTTACAAAGAGCAGGTATAGCTCATTGCCAACCTCTTCCCAATCCAATTTCGTCTACCATTAAAACAGTGGTCGAAAACAAGCAACCATTCAATAATGCCAATCTCTACTGATATCTAGTTGGATCTCTTCAATATCACACACTAACAAGACCGTATATTCTCCACGCCGTCAATCAACTCTCTCAACATCTTCATAAACCGTTGAACACGCATTTTAAACAACTTAAATGGATTCTACAATACACCCAAAGCACTCTTCATCTTGTTCTTCCTTTTCAATCTTGTCCACTAGTTCTCAGTTCATATTCAAATGCAAGTTGGGCAAGCAATCAAACAGACTAGAGATCTAACACTGGATAGTGCTCTTATCTTGGCAAAATGTTAGTATCTTAGCAAATAAAGAAACAGCTTACAATTGTTAAATCTTCTACTGAGGCTGAATATAGAGCACTTGCTTCTACCACAATGCAAGTCACATAACTCGAAAGGTTATTACAAGAATTTCAAGTTAAACTTGACCAACCCACTACCATCTATTGTGATAATATCCCTACTATGGCTCTCGCTAAAAATCCAAACTTTCATGCACGTACTAAACACATTGAGATCAATTATCCCTTTGTAAGAAAACACAATCAGTCTAATGAAGTCAATGTTACCTACATCTCTACACCAGATCAACCTGAGGACATATTTACTAAATATCTTCCAACCCAAAGGTTTATTATGCTGCACAACATGCCCAATCAACCTTCAGACATATTTACTAAATATCTTCCGACCGCAAGGTTTATTATGTTGCACAACAAGTTGATACTATCTACCAATACTATCAACTTGAAGGGAGCTGATAATAATAATTATGATGGTCAAGTAAGTGCTTAGCTTAGTTTTATTTTTTTCTTGATTACTTTTATAATCATTGGGTCTATATAAGACTACCTTATGTAATTCGTTGTATAAATTTTGTCCTAAGCTAAGAATAGAATTATGCTTTTATTGCTTTCCTCCTCTTCCTTTTCTCTTTTCCTTTTCCTTCTTCTTGTCCCTTTTGGTTTCTATTTTCTGCTGGACTTTTTTTTGCTTTAACCACAACATCCATAATGAAGTAATATATAATTAGAATTGTGAGTTATGTACGGTGTGATTGGATAAATCCTTAAAATCTATAAGTTCATTTTTTGTACTTGAGGTCGTGATTTTTAGTTGTAAATTGAACTAGGCTCCTGTCTTGTGAGTAAAAACTGTGACATATGAAATAGATTAAATTTTCAAAGATATAAAATCAAATATTCTAAACTGGATTTCAAAACGGCATGATGTGAAGTTATCGTTCATATGTATTAAATTTATCATTTTTTGCTATAATCTTGTGTATTTATGGATTACATTTAATGGAAATATCACTGATTTTAACTTTTATGGAATACCATTTTCTTTAAATCCAATAATTTCATGCGTTTGATGGATTGGAATCATCCTGAAAAGCATTCGAGCAACTCAATAGCACATTGCTTGGAATAAGGCTACTTCTGAGTCAGCTAAAACACATTGAATAAACTTAAAAGCAACTCTTTTGATCCAAGTCAACATAACACGACTTGAAATACATTTTCATTTCAAGTCGAGTTTGAATAGGCTTATAATCATTTACTTCAAATTTGAGCCAATTCAACACGCTAGTCTCAATTCATCATCATATCACAATTTTAAAATGATAAATTAATAATACTCTCTTCTCCCACTACCTCTCTCCATCTTACTCGCTACCTCCATCACCCTCAAAACCTCTTCCCCTTCCCTCCCTTCACTTCGTAAATAAAGAGATTGAGTAGATAAGGAGAAAAAATTTAAGTTGTGAAGTTCAAAAAAGTTCATTGATACATCACATAGCTACTTTTACTGGTTTTCTTTATATTTTTTAACAGGTACATCGAAACAGCATCCAGCTTTTCACTTTAAATTTTAAAATTGAATGGGATCAGTATCTTCAACTTGAATAATGAATAATTAAAAAATTATTGGTGATTACTGCAAGGGATTAAAAGTGAATAGATTAGATAAGTTTTCCAATTTTCTAATCTGACAAAACAAAAAAGTTCAAAAAATAAATCAATAATACACCATGTGGCATCTTTCACCAGTTTTCTTTACTATTTTTGAGAAGGTACATCCAAGATAACATCTAAATTTTTCTTTTGAACTTTAGAATTGAATGCACTCAATGGTATCAATGGATTAACTTGAATAACAGAAACAAAAAGTATTGGAGATCATTACAAGACGCTTTTAACAGATTAGATATGATTTCTATTTTCCTATTCAAACATAAGACAACATTGGCATTTTACAACTTCAATAAGAAATCACTGAAAACATAGTTTATTTCTATTTTCCTATTCAAACAGATTAGATATGATTTATATTTTCTATGTTCCTGTTCAAAGACAAGTAGATTTAACAGATTAGAACATGTCAAAAAATTAGTTCACTCAAAACTTAGAAAGAATTTATAAATGACAATTGTATCGTACTTTAGAGTAATTTAAACATGTGTAGAATCAAAGTGGCCACTAACAAATATGAAAACTTGGTAGAAAACAAAACTACATTCTACTCTGCTTGTAAAAATCCTTTTCTAAATAAGCAACCACACTTGTGAAGCCTCAAGCCACCCACTCTTTACTCCCACCCTGAACTTCTCTCTCCTAAATGTTGGATGCCACTCCCAGCATGGCACCATATTCTCTCATCTTGAATGCAGAATAGCTTCTCTACAACACCTCTCTCCCGATCACTACGTCCGACCAGGACAACAAGGACACCACGAGTTTCCCACGAGACACTGCTCACTCGATCACATCACTACCTCAATATATCTCCCTTGACACATCTCTTCCTTAAAGCCAACACGCCAAAAATCTCTCCCTCAAATCCAATATGTCAAACATATCCTTTCTCAATGTGTCATGCCATCATGGCATCAACTGCAGCTCAGGAATCAGTGACATCTCTCCCTAGATGTCTATCCTGTTTGGCAATCACCAATCCAGAGCAAACTTATTTCACAATCTTTGATAGAACTCAAGTCACTCCCTCACGAGGTCTCTCTCATCTCTATTTCTTATCATTGAATCAACATAATGTATTCAATTGTTGTAGATATTAGTTGTCAAAAGGTCATCGATCAGTAGTTGATCATCGTCGTTGAGTACAAGAAGATAATCTAACCACAGGTGTACTAAAAAGCTCAACATTTGATAGGTAGAACTAACACTTGTTAATACCAACATTTTGAAAACATTGACATCTAAATAATAATGAACCAAATAGTCCCTTGGATGCTTTATAAGGCTTCCATCAAAAATACCAACAGAAATCTCAACATAGGGACACCTAAGGCACAATTTATAACTTAGGGCCCGTTTGGGGCACCTTAAAAACGCAGCGGTATCGTTTGGATCTCGCATTTTGCCCGCTTATCCGAAAACTCAGTTCTATTTTTACACTAAGGGTTGAACCCCGCGGTCGACCCGCGGGTCGCGTTTTAGGATAAGCTGTTTATCCTGAAACGCACAAGCTGCCTCAAACACACCCTTAATGTACAAATTGCAAGTCATTCTGCATTAGGATGTAAGATGGCTGCTAACTTCTATTATAAGCCAAACAAATAAGAACTTACAAAATGATATCCATTGATCAAAACGTTGAAATCCAACGGATAAATGCAAAACCATGTTGCAATAATAATAAAAATCTAACATTTCCTAAAAAATATCAAATTAGACAATAGAATAATTTTGAAAGTCATTCTATTGACTCAATAAGGCAGCCAACTACAGAGTTAAATTAGATAAGAACATAAGTTCCTTTCCAGGACATTGAACACCTTAAACATAGCCATAATTAGTAACACAGAGTCCTCCTTGCAATTAAGTATAAGATGAGTTTAGCCTAGAGATCTGATTGACTCACCAAACCTTTAACAAATTACTTGAGAACATTTAGCATTGCCCAGTGAGAATATTCAACATTTGACAAAGCTTATGCACATTGTTTTCATTTCTTTAAAAGTAATAAGAACAGGTAGAGAGCATAAAACTTGTTCGCTGACTCATATAGAATTTAAGTATACCTGCAATGCGCTCATCGCATTCTTTAACTAATCGGCTGAATCGAGAGTTCCCGGTGCCAACAAAAGGCCTGCAGTAAGAGCTGCCTTTGCAGTTTGATATTCCTCAAGCTTCATACAAGCAGTTCTATCATAAAGGGTGTGTAATCCATCAGATATGCAAAGATATTTAAAAATAAAGATTCCATGACCACTGAATAATTAACAATTATCTATAAAATATTCAAAAGAAATCTAGTATGAACGTTTAGAAGGCATCAAAATAACCATAAAAAACAAAATTATGAGAAATGCACTTGGGGTAACCATTAAACAATACAAATAAGCACGCAGATGTAGCGGAAAAATTAAGGATGAGATTACCAAGGAGTTCATCATTTAATCACAGCACAATATTCTAAAGAGAAGTTAAAAGTTGGTAGAGTTAATTGCCATATCAGTTCAATAAAATCTAAATTGGAATGGGAAAAAAAAGGAAATAAAGCACAGGAAAAATGATCATATTACTGCAATATCTCTGAACTAACCCTTTTCTTAGGTAAGCTTTGGCCATCGAAGAATCCAATTCAATAGCTTTGTTTGCATCTGATACAGCCTCTGTAATGGTAAGTCAGAAGAACACATTCAGTTCAAGTCAGAAAAAGCTAACATACAATGTGGTTAGAGCCGATAAACAAGAGGACTAAAATAATCAATATGGGAAATCTTAGATCTTCTGCATTATAATTAAAGCACACGCAACTTCTAATAAGCATTCCCAATATCATGATGCAATGAAAACCCTTGTCCCATCAGTCTAGATAGCTCAGATTGTCACTACCATGCATACATCACATTGAAAAATGGCACGTAAAGATAGAAAGAAGCAAGAAGAAAGAGGAAAGAAACAAGAGAAAAAAAAAAAGGAGAATATCCAAAAAACCAGCTAGGAGATTAAGCCCAAAGAAGATAAGTGAATCACTCTTTCATTAATCCTTTCATATCTGATACTTGATTACAGATACATTTAAATAGAAACAGGGAATGGCAAACTTGTAAATAAGCCTAGGGACAATAATGTCGTTACACAATATTTACATCTGATATAAGTATCATCTTTACATGAACAGCAGCAAACCTAGACTAAGGGCCCATTTGGGGCAGATTATTTAAGTGCGGCGGCGTTTTCAAAACGCCGTCTTCATATTTGAAAAGTGTGTTCGCGCAGATTATCCCTGCCGTAGTGCGTTGGATTATCCGAATCCTTAATAGTTTTGCTCGTGACATTGCCCTAGTTGCCCCTCTTCTCCCTCGCGCTCGACTCGTGATATTGCCCTAGTTGCCCCTCTTCTCCCTCGCGCTCTCCCTCCCTGGATTGGTCCCCCGTAGAGGAGATCGGACAGTTTCCTTTCGATTTGTCCCCCGTCAATCGCAATGTATGCTTTCCCTCACCGTCAATTCGTAAGGAATGCTTCCTCTAGAGCGATCGAACGTCGGTGGTCGTAAATGGTTGTTTGTAGATGCGCGAACGTCGTTTATTTGTATAGATCTGACCGTAAACCTTGATTTTTTACTTGACCGAAGATTTTTATGCCATCGTCGTCTTTGTTGTTTTTGAACTCGAACAATGCGAATGGATTTCTTTGCCCTAAAATTTACTTTAATTTTTTTTTGGGGCGTGAAGAAAATTTTGCAGCATGGAATCATTTGTCAGCGACTGTTTAGAATGAATTTTGTTTCGAATATTTCTGCCCCATTTGATTTTTCCTAATTTTTGCATAGACAAGAATGTCTCTATACGCAGAGCAAGGAATAATTTGTGAGCATCTGTATAGAAGGAAGGAATATTTCTTGTTTTTTTAAGTTTATTAGCTGATATTTATGGGCTGCAAATAATTCTTGTTTATAGGAAACATAGTTCTCAACTTGTTTCATGAAACTGCTGCTATTAAGGGTCATGTTTATGAGCTGCATATATATGTATTCATTGCAATCCCCATTGGTGGCAAATTCCTGTTTCGGTTTATGTTAAGAATGGCAATGGATATGAAATTGGCGAGGATTTGTGTGCCGTATATTTTTCATAAACTACTGAAACTGTAGAGGGAATTTACATGCCTAACAAATAATTGAGAATTTACATGCCAATTCATTATAATTGGGAATTTACATGCCCAAGCATTCTTGCATATCCAAATTTATGGCAGCTCTGTTGGATTGTCATTTTTGTTTGGTTATTCTATTAGTACAGTTTGGTTACTGTTAGTATCCAAATTTGTTTAGGAGAAATTATGTGCAGTTTGATCACAACAGTTTTGTAAATCTATTATTGTAGTTTGCTGCACCTTTTATCTGTTGGATTCTATTGTTGTTCATTTGTAACATTCATCCATTGGTGGCATTATCTGTTCATTCGTAAATTTCATGCTGGAGATAAATATATGGCTCGAAACTGTTTTAAATGCATTTAAAGTGCTACAAATTTCATTTTGGTACAGCAATAGGATGCAGCCTCTAATAGCTTCGTGACAAGCAATTTCATTGAATGCAGTTTGATAAAAAAATGAGTGTGTATGACAGCTGAATACATGACAACTGGAGATGAAAATGTATTGCAGATGAATATATGGTGTTGTATTATTGCGTTAAAAATTTCTATATGGCAACTATCTCATTAGTTGTGTCTCGACATGTATGAGAAGTTGCATTTAGAAATACACAATATGGTGGCTTCGGTAGAATTGGATTTCATGACATGTATTAGAAGTTGCTTATTACACATGTACTTGATACTTGTAGTAGTGTTCTCCATAGATAATCATAACTGTCGGCGGGTAAAAGTGGTGGTGGTTTGGTTTGTTTGTTTGTTTGGGGGAGTTGCCCATAAGAAGCTGTCGGATACCGGAATTGAAATCTCGTCGCCCGCCTCGGAAGAACGTATAGGTTTAAGTTTAAAAATCAAATATGAAAATCAAACTGACCCCATGTTTTTCATAGTTTAAATGAAAGAGCGTTTTACCTCAAATCTTGTATCTATCCCGAGGGATAAACACAAGACTTGAGGTAAAACGCTCTTTCATTTAAACTATGAAAAATATGGGGTCAGTTTGATTTTCATATTTGATTTTTAAACTTAAACCTATATGTTTAAGGTATAGGTTTAAGTTTAAAATAAGACTCGGAAGAACGTATAGGTTTAAGTTTAAAAATCAAATATGAAAATCAAACTGACCCCATGTTTTTCATAGTTTAAATGAAAGAGCGTTTTACCTCAAATCTTGTATCTATCCCGAGGGATAAACACAAGACTTGAGGATGAGACTCGATCAGATAAACTAAGATATATATGACGTTCGTTTGGTCTGCGAAACCGTTTTATCTGCCGACAAATTCTCCTATTTAATATGAAAAATTAAATAAGGTTTATTTTAAACTGGGTTCGGAAAAACTTCCTATAAGGGCAAACCCCTATAGTTAATTACATCTTAAATGACCGAAATCACTTAAGAATACTCTCGATAAAAATCAGGAAAATTATCTTCAAGGACTTCAAAAGAATAGGATTTTTTAACGAAATCGGACAAAGAGGTATGCAAAAGGGAATGATTCAAACTTGGAACATTTATTACAGGATCCAAATGAACAAGAACTAGGGGATGCCACAGATCCAGAGGAGATCCTCGGTGGCTTCCTAGTCTACCATATGGTTTGGCTTCAGTTTCGAAGAGGAATATTCAAATGTTTTATCCTGCCAGTTTTATTTACTTATGGCTTACATTCGTGTGAAACGCTCACACAAATAGCTTGGAAGATGTGAAGATTTAGATCGTAAAGATTTAGATCGTAACGAACGACACGAACGACAGTCTCGGAATCCTAAAACGAGTTAGGGCTTAGATTGTACAGCAGAGCTACATAAAAGCCTAACGAAAAGGTTGAGGATTTATGTTGTACTAGGCGAACAACCTTGAAATCCTATGGATTGTTATTTTAATTCTATGAAAGGAATGATTTAGCTGGGGAAGACATTCTGCTGCTGAAGATGGTCGTGCTGCCCACCGCGCTAACTCCAAGCTCCTTGTCGTGACGAGTTCAAGTTTTTTAATTATGATATCAAATCAAACGACCCTATGATAATAGTCCTCTAAACATCTTATATGAAAAGGAGGCATGTTTAAGGCTATGTAATATAAAAATGTTCAGTACATGGCAAGCAGTAGAAAACACAAAAAAAGAAACAGTGTACATGTCATACATGATAATAGCAAGTATAGTAAAAGGAACAATATAACATGCTTTATAGAGCAGTAGCAAGTACTATAAAAGGAACAGTGTAACATACCTTACAGAATAATAGCGGGTAGAAACAGGAATAATATAATATGTTGTACAGAACAGTAGCAGGTAGGAACAGGAATAGAATAACATGTTATACAGGGCAGTAGCAGGTATAAACAAGAATAGAATAACATGTTGTACAGGACAGTAGCAGGTATAAACATGAATAAAATAACATTCTGTAAATGTAAAATGAACATGTACGCCCGTGGGATCCACTGTTTCTTAAATATAACAAGCTGAAATATATTGCAAAAAGCGAAATCTGGAAGAAAAGTCATCCAGAAAATCCGAAAAAGAGTGTAACGACGACTCATGATCGAAAAAACTCGAGAAAATCAACGAGAAAAGACTTAAGTAAACATCTTCAAAAATCTCGGAGAAATCTTGAAGAAAAGAAAAGAAACACGAGTGTTCTGTCCAAAGCTTCAATAAAACAAAAAATTCAAGGGGGACCGCAAACACTTGTGTAGGGCTAGGCTCAGATATACGTATATGTACTCGAGAGCCCACGAAGGCTACTCGGTCACCCGAATGTATAGAACTCGCCACTCGTCTAGAAGTGTGTCATGAATCTCACATAGAGGGCTACTTCCCAGCCTAAACAGGTATTCGTCAGGTGGACAATCAATTTTAAAATGTATTTTTAAAATTTATGTTTTTGACATGCACACAAATTTTAAACATGCAAAGAAGAGTTATCAATTTTTGTTTCGTAGAAAAGTATGTTTTTGCTTGAAAAGAGTTTATCAAAACTTATTATATTTTTTTTAGAAATTTTCGTTGTCCACGAGTCGATTACATTGTCGGGCGTGGGACTGCCAATCATCTGAGGAGGTTCGAGCCAACTCCTGCTAGACTTATGTCGGTGAAGAATATCATATTCTATTGTTCATCAAATGTTTGGATCTTGATGTTATAGGATAGGGTATCTTTCTGCTCTATCTTCGGTGTGTCTTTATCATCAACACTCTACGCCCCAAAACAAACTACTCGCGACCTTGCTTGATGGTTTCACGTATAATAAAAGACTATACGTAGACACTTATGCATCGGACATAAGCATCGAAAACCGAACCAAGAAGCAAGGAAAGAAAAGAACAAAAAATGGGGTGAGAGAGAGGAGACACTGATCCATCTAAAACAACGAAAAAGAAGACTGGATCAGCTCTCAAAAGACTCCTGTCAAAAAAACCTGAAAAAATAGGGCCCGAGGTCTTTCCTAACAAACATAAAATGCCACTTTGCACTGATTTTTCGAACCCCAAAGACGTAGGCTT